GCTTTCACAGAGTGATAGAGTTTCACTGACATCTTTATGACATTTTTATTTAAAGAAAGACTAAAATGGAAAGTTTTAAACCGGTAAAATGTTGCAAACTCTGTCACCTGTAAATGCCAAGGTAACTGGCCTTGGTAGTTTTGAAGCAATTCTGTAGTTGTTTTCTACTTGCAGTGAGGTTCTGCTCTTCCTTACACACAAAAGACATTTTGCATTTATGAACTGTCCCAAAATCACTGACTTGGCACAGAAGTACTCCAGTGAAGTGTACACTTCTGAAAATGGTATCTAATACACTCAGAGACTACAGTACCCATTTCTTACTGAAAATAAAACCAAGCACAGTGGACTGTAGCAACTACTTAGCCATCAGAAACCACAAGGGAATTTGATACCAGCTCAGAAACAGAACCAGGTAACTTGCAGGCTCTTGATCTGAGAGTTCCTCCATGTTCATTACAAACTTAGAGCTGGGTGGAGTCATGTGGTGCCTATAGATTTTTTTAAAGTATAAGCCTACAAATACAAAACTGAACAGATTTTAAATTTTTGTAATTCCAGCATTTCATTCAAGCAAATAATTCAAAGGTTTTGGGATGAAATGGTAAATTTTCCCAGTGCATTTCAGGATATTCTATCTATTTTTTTTTCCAGGTAGTATTCAGTTCATAACTTATATGAGTTGAAGTCTACTGCCTAAAATCCATCATCTCCTGAGATGCCACAGATAAGTATGAAACTTCCCAATATGTCCAAAACAGAGATGATGCTAACAGAAGAAACCCTTGAGCTATTCCATTGCTATATAAGAACATCATCAGTTAAAAGCAGAAATCCAAAATCATAAATTAGTCTACATCACCTTTTGAAAACCCAGTGATAATGAAATAGGTGCTACCTTCAGCATCTTCCCAGAATGCTGTGCCATAATTATTCTGGACTTGACACTGGTTACCTCAGTTCACTTAAGATGAAAACCAACCATTACACCCTCTCTTTGACCAGCACACAGCAAATTTATCTCACTTTTGTCCTGCCATCTGTGTGCTGTCAGCCAGTGAGATGGTTCATAAAGAACTGTCACGTGAAGCAGAGCATACATATGAAAGCATCCCTAGATGCAATCAAACATCACCACGTTGAAGTGCACAACTTGTCTCTGTGTCAAGGCTTTTCACCTCTCTTTCAGGATATTTTTCTGAGTCAACTAAGCACAAAAATGCAACCACAAGATTTCCCAGCTGACAGGAACAAGTTGGTAATACCAGTTCTGCTCACAGGAGAGAAAAGGAAACTTATCTGAAAAATTCACTAAGTGTTGTTTGTTCTAAACATAGCTTAGTCTCCACAATCATCTCTTCCCAGCTTGCAAGGACATTGATCTGTGAGATTTTTGCTAGGCTGAACTACTGCAGTGAACTCTGTGAGCTTAGCATACTTCCTACCTCATTAAGATGGCTTGAGCATGAGGGATAAAAGGGAATAGCTGCTAATAGTATCTTTTAAAAAATGACAGGAGGTATTTATTACTCATAATAATCGTGAGTGAGAAAGAAGAGTGAAGTAACTGTTAGAAGCATCAGTCAGAAGTGGACAAACTCAGCTACTCCGAGGAGCTGAACATGGAGTTGCAACACACTTCTTGATCAGAGCAAGTACAACACCGCCTCCACAGCCTCTGCAGCTGCAGGTTCATGGAGCCACTAAATCCAGGGAAAACATGTGGGGTCAGAAGCTTGCAGAGTTTTGGCTGACTAATAACTGCAGCAGCTGCTGAGTCCCCCGTCTACTCTGTCTGCTCAGGGAACACAAGACCTTCGCACTAGAAATTATTCCCAGCTGCAGCTGTTAGATATTCATGACAAATGTCTAATGGCTAAAATTGTGTGTTGTGGACAGTGTCACCTTTCATGTCATATGGGGACAATTTTGTATTCTCCACAGTGGCTGGGATACTGAGATGTCATCCTAACATCATCTGGAGCTGTACTCCTAGACCACAAACCGCTGTCACTGAGCAGTGAGTTCTGACTGCTGCTGATGCCTTCTTTGTATCAAGTTACTCTTTTCTACCACTATAGATATACCAGGACTGAGTAGCTGCCACTGTCTCACTGCAAGAGAGAAAGTGTAACTGTAGTAGCCCTGTCTATGAATTGCATTTAAATCAGATTCAATTCCAGGTTACAGCAGGACAAGGGACATGCGCATCCTGTTCCATAGCACTTGAAAGTTTGTGCTTCCAAAGGCAGTGGGCCTTTTGTGCTGATGTCTGGTATCATCAGAAGAAAACACATGGAGGATTTATTCTGTTGATGAATGGAGGGAGCTGAGCTGCAACCGACCAACGTGGGGTTTCCACTGGATTACTCTGCACTTCCTTTCTTCAAGTAATCCTGAGTCAGTCTTCTGGCAAAAACATGCCTTTCTAGTGATTTACACTGTAGAACTAACCTGAAATAATATTTCCATGAATCAATCAATTTTCCAACTCACAGAATTCTGCAATCTTACGAAAATCTGCTTTTTGTTAACATACAATGAGATGCCACGAACAGCCTGAGGAGCTGTAAAGCACACAGAGAAACTACTATACTGTGTAGGGGTGCAGTGCAGGCCAGTGACCAACAGTGCAATGCATCCCACACATGGGAGTTGTTAGGGACACAGATTGCACCAGCTCTTTGTAGGCTCCAGTGCCTTTAGGGCACTCCAGTCCAGACACAAGGGGGTGGCACAGTTGATCTATCACGTATCATGTCCAGACACATCCTGGATATGCTGGACTTAGTGAAAATATTTGGAACAATTCTGTTGTGTGCACAACAACAACTTGGCTGTGTTCAACAGCCAAATAACCAGAGGTTTCCTCTTGAAGTAGGTTGCATATTGCCATCCCAAGTGTCAGTAAAATTGGTTCATCTGATAATCGTGTGTGATCATCTGTCTTTTTCCAGCTCTAAATCTAGATTTGATGGACAGAGATTTGAAATCAAGGCCAAAAGCTCAGCCAGAAGAGATGGAAACATCACTTGCTTTCTTTGCTTTGTAAGAGAAAAAAACACTAGAGCTCCGTTCCTCTCCTGTGGAACGACAGAACACGTTGCATTAGACACTATCAACCTTTAACAGGTTCTGGGATTATTTTTAAAATTACAAAAACAAGCACATGAGTTCTTTTTTGTTTACAGGACAAATGTTGTCACAAAATAAATCCAGCAACAAAGGGGAGTGGCAGGGAAAGATGGATAGCCTTTGGTTTCACTGGCTGCCTACTCAGATGAAAATATCTCCCCTATATCTGACCCTCAGGGTGTGTTGCTGGTCAAGTGAAGCCAAGTTGCATAATGTTCAGCCAAGGGAGAACCAATTTTGGTCTGATGTGCTGATGGTGAGATTACTAGAGGATATTTATGTGTATAGACTCAGTTTAAGGAACCACTGCAATATTTGCTGTCAAGGAGGGAAATGGCCTCATTCTGAAATGCACTGAGATCCCTTGCCTGGTGCTGAGTCACTGGACTCCTGTGGGAGTTAATCAGAGCTGAGAGCTTTTGATATCTTAGGGTGTACTTCATACGGAGTGTGATGTAAAGGATACCGCTTCTCAAATGCTGACAAGCCCTTCTTTTTCCCTGCAGTTTAATTCTAGGATTTGGCACTGAAATGTGTATTTTGTGTCCCCTGTTGTCATCACACACATAAATTAAGGTGCAATTGCTATGGAGAGATTAGAGGTAGAAGTCCTTTTTGAGTAATTTTTCCATAGCTAAAAGAACTTTTCCTCATGCAAAGCAGAAAAATAGTGTCTGCCCCAGGGGAAAACTAAAAGTTAGCAGAACTTGAGTCAGTAATGCCTCTTCCCCTTTCTTTGATGTGTGTCCTGTCTCTTGGCATGTACTAATTTAATCTTTCACTTTATAATGAAGAAATCCCTGAAAACATAAGCTTTCTTAACATTTGCGAGAATGTTGTCTCTGGTGTGACTTGGGTTTTAGTTCTGTTGTTGAAGAAAATTATCCTAGAAAACTATTGAATTCAATCTATCATTTGATTGATCATTCACTTACACCTGTTACAGAAGAGTATCAAATATTTTAAGAAGCATTTCAGCTCAAACTCAACCTCTGAACTGGATGCCAAGACACAATCAGTTTACAAGAAATGATGCACCTGAAAAGGAAAAAAAATAGCCCTAATGATTAGCAAATTTAGGAACTTGTTCAGAATTTAAATTTATAGGTTTTGGCTGTCATGTACATGAAAAGAATCTTTCCTAGTCCCTCTGACGGTGGCGTTGTGTCTGCACTTATGAGTGTCATAAACGGATTGTACCAAATCCATTCACAATCACATTTCTTAAATTTGCACTCACACTATGATTCATCGTGAATGCCATTATACTAAAAATAACGGGAATGGCGATTAATATTAAGTGCACATGTATACATTGCTCTTTGCTATATCTCTACTGTTCTTTCAGTGTTTCTTTTACACCCTTTCTAACAAGACAGTTAAAGTGAATCTCTAATCCATAACCTCTAATCTCTGATACTATATTCTAACATACTAAGCTGTTCCTGAAATAAACCCCTCTAGTTTCTTATGTCATTTGTATTCTCCAACTCCCACCCACATATTAGGAAGCTTTTGAGGCATAGTTTGTTATTCATACCATAGCACAAAGGACAGCTATCCATGGGGCTGCAGAATTCTGTGGCACTAATTTACATAAGGTAGGAATTTATAAATCACAAGATACTTCTCTATGATAGTATGATTTAATGTAATTTATTCACATTCATACCATATCTTCTTAAAGCAACTAGAAACACTTCTATTTGCTTATTGCTGCATTTTCAATAGATGGTATAACTAGGAGGTATTTATCAAGTAAGTTATTTTTAACCACAAAAATGCCCATTATAGCTCATGAATAATTAAAACTACAACAATATTTATAAAGAATCATTAACTGATTCTTTTGTTTTAAATCCTAGCCACCCCTGCACTCTGCTAGCAAGCTATGCTGAACTAGCAGGTGTTTCTCCTAAGGACCACAGACCAGCTGACCCCCTCCAGGTAGCTCATAAGAGGGGAGAGGAGAGCAGACCACCTCCACATGGGAAAGCAAGCAGGAGTGCAGCAGCTTCAGATGATAACAGACTCCCTTCTAGCCCTGAACTGAAGTAAGTGTTGCCTAGGTTTTGGGCTACAGTTGAGGGAGATCTGCTTGCTTTCTTCACAGTAATATGCTGTAGCCTGTTTACTGTGTTTGTGTTTAATTGTCATATGTAATGGTGCCTCAAAGGAGTTGTGTTTTGAGATTATTGTCTTTGTGATCTAAGATATTTTGTATAAGTTCAGACTTCTGTTTATGTGTTTGGAATCTGTTCTTTAATTAGCTGCCTTTCCCCATGGTGACTGACCAAAACAGAAGGAAAAAGTGGTGTAAAAACTTCAGAAACTTCTAAGACTCTGTAACTCCAAGTTTCTTGCCTTGCTTCTAAGAGTTCCCTAATGTCTATGGCAGAAGATAATTCAGAGGAGAGGATTGGTAGAACACCTGTTTCTTGTAGAGCAGTAAGAAAGGAGATAAGATGTGACTAGAAACCTTCAGTTTGCATGATGGACCGCTTGTCAATCTTCTGCAGGAGCAGTTTTTTCAGTGGGATGAAGGAGAAAAAAAAAAAAGCCCGTTTGCTTTTTTGATGAATCTGCATTTCTCTGCTACAGCCTTCTATTTCCTTGTTTGAAGAAAAAAAATCTTGAATGTTCAGATGGTCACTCTAACACTTGCAAAAAATAGAAAAACCCTATTCTCCCTTAAAAACCTACTACAAATCTGAGTTCACTACACCCCTTGCTCCCTCTTTGATCCCAGTTCCCACCTGCAGGCTGCAGAAGAGATGAACTAAGGAATCACCAAGGCATGGGGACTACCCTGAGACATACTACTTATTTCAATATATTTATGAAAACTACTGCCAAGTATTCCAGGGGAGAGGGAAAGAAATGGGTGTGGGATGTTTGTGTTGAAATGTTCACACAGCCTCCCATATGCAGAGAAGTACCTGTGTTTGGCTGGAGTGGGGCACAGAGGAGCTCAGCAGCTGCCACACATGGCCTCTGCTCCAAGGGGTTCATCTCAACTCACGGTAAAGGGTTGCTGAATCCTGAAGGCAGCAGGTTCCTGTGTTTCTAGTGCATTGTGAAAGGGTAGTGGTTGTCACTGAAAAGTGCCTGCTGGCATCAAGCTGTGTTTTGACTGGGAGTACTCCAATATTCACCTTAATGTTTATTCATAGGTATTAAGCAGTGTGAAAACCATGTTTAGTTAAGTTGCCAAACAGCATATGCAAAGAAGCTTGATTTTTGTAGGTGTTTTCCCCTTTGGTCTTGCTGCTTCACCAGAGTTAGAGGCATCTCCAGCAGCTTCTAAGTCTCTGCCTCTCTGTAGCCACCAGCAGGTCCTTGTCAAAAGCCTAATTTTATCGTTCACTTTTCTGAGTAATTTCAGGCCTATAGACGTGAAAGGGTACCGCCTGCCTTGTATCCATGATGATGTATCGTGACTTACTTTCCCCCTGAAATGTTTGAAAACACCATGAATGATGTTTTGTACCTCTTGTGCCTGAATCCTATCACTTCTGTAGCACCCAGAGCAGGTGAGCTGGATGACTAAACTGTGTTTGGTTGCAGGTAACAGCCAGAGCCTTCCTATGACTCTCTAGCATTGCTAACACCCTGCTCTCTCCACAGCTCCTTGTTACAGGCACTCTCAGTGCAGACATTAATTGCTCCTTCCCCTGTTCCCCAGCAGCAGTGAGGCTGCAGAGGAATAATGCACAACAAATAGTTTGACTCATGCACACCTTTAGCCTCTCTACTCAGCAATGAGACCTGCATTTGCACATCAGCTTACGGAGGAATGATTTCCATAGCAACAGCAAGAATATGTGGGATAGTATGAATACTGCCTTGGAGAGCATATAAAGCACCTTCTTAAGAAATAACTGACTGCATGGGTTCTGGAAAAAAAACACTTGCAGTTGGCTGTGTGGAGGCAGTGTTGTGTAATTTTTTTTGTTGTGGTAAAAAAGAATTCATGTTTTGTTTTAGACAACATCACTTTCTTAAAGAGACATTCCTGTGTACAGAAAATGGGGGACTTCTGCTTTGTGTAAACTGTTAGTGGATGCAGAGACTATGGAAAGATTCATGGTGATTCTTCAGCAGTACAGTGAATTAATAGTTTTAGTGAGGATCTAAAGGGAAGTTACCTGAGGCAAGCATCAAGGGGGAGGGAAGAATGACGGCTCAGTTGATTCAGGGGGCGGGGAAGCAGGATCAGGTGATAGTCCCTTTAAATAACAGGTTTTACGGTCACTACTGAGGGGCAGGCTTTCTGTTATCAGAAGACAGGGAGGTGATGCTCTAGTACTTGGGGATGCAGATCCACAAGACAGGAAATATGCATGAAGGAATTACAACTATTTAATTCTTGGTGACATGCACATGTCTATCTTCCTCTTGCTGCTGTTGTCTTACTGATTCTCTTCCTATTTGTTTTTGAGGGGTTTTTGTTGCACAGCTCCATGTAGCCACAAAGCAGACAAGTATCTGGACGCCCCCACTAGGCTTCTCTGGGGAATATGGTCAGACAAGTGTGTTGATTTCTATAGGTTCAGATGCATTATTGCTTCAGGAGGGTTGGCCCTTTCCTTCCCGGTCCTTTCGTGAGCTTCAGGGAAATGTGCCCTTGGGCACACACCTGCATCAAGCTCTGCAGTGCCAGCAGTGATTACTTGGATACAAATAGCTCTGTCTTTCTGAATGGCATGAATTGCTTCAACTCCTTATGGGTGGAATGAACAAAAGTAACAATGATGATTTCATCGCTTCTTTAGTAAGGTGATATCCAACCAACAGTGTGCTGTACTGCAGCACAAGTATCTTAAAAATAAACAGTTTTGGAAGGGGAAAATTTCTTCATGTTTCAGATATTACTAAATTTAACAGCTAAAACCATTGGAAGTCTTGAATCCCATGCTTAAGTTGGATGTTGCAGAAAAGCTCCATGTGCCATAGAATTCCTGCCCCTTCCATACATTAAGAGATCTGGATGAGTTTTCACAGCCTATCTTTCTCAATTTTTTTTTCTCCACCTTTTGGTAAATGATTACTATTCCTGAACAGATTTACTTATTGACTTACACAACCAGCTAATATTTTTTTTTCTTCTTTCCTAGCCTGAAGGCTTCTGTGCACTCTGTTTCTAGCGTTCTGTACCTGTGCATGCAAAGTCAACAGCACTAGTGAGAGACTTAGCAACACACCCAGTGAGGGGGATAGAAGACATGCCTGGTTTTGTCTGCTCGGTACTTTAATAGTGAGAAGGCCAGTGTGGGGACAGTGACAACTGGCTGTGGCCCTGTATGGACTCTGTGTGCCTGTAAAGCACCAACTGGAGGACTAGCTGGGCCCTTGTATTTGCAAATTCCCTTTGGAAATACATGTGCTCTAGCTCTGGCACTTGTCCTGAGAAGGGATCCTAAACCTGTGTATCCATATGTGAGCAAAGAGCAGGGCTGTGGGATTTCTTCAGGCAGTGGTGCTGGGAATGGCAAGCCAATGGCAAGCCCTGCCTGCAGAGATCAATAATGGTGGGTTATCCCACAGTGTCTGCTGCTGTGGGGTTTAGATCTTGGGAACAAAGCAAGCTATTTTCCTTTAATGAGTATCGTGTACTTCCAGCTTATGCTTTAATAGGATTAAACAGTCGCAGCATGGCCTTGGCAGGATATCACATACCCTAGGGCAGGAGAGTCTAGACTCCCTGTCTGCCCCAGGCATCCTCATTCACTTCATCCTGGCATGTGAGGAGCATGGCTCTGTGGGCACCCTGGCAGGTATGGTGTGGCTGAATCCAGCCCTAACATACACTGCCTTAATCTGAGATCAGGTTATTGCCTGTATAAGAAGCAGGTTATTACCTGCTAACTTGAGTTTTAAAAAGGCAGAGGATGAGCTGGAATACTGCATTCACTGATGGAAACATCGTACTAAGGGATATACCTCTCTCTGAAGAGAATTGGGCAGGAACCATAAGAAGTTCAATGCCACCTCCCTCTGCAGGAAACTTTCCCTCCTCCCTCTTTTTTCCTCTTTTGTCTTCTGCACATGACTTGGTCCTATATAGACACGTAATGTCTAACACAGTGTGACCATCTGAGAGTGTCCTTGTTCATAGGGTTGCTTATTCCAGGCTGATGTGTTGCAAAGGAGTTTGAGAGTTTGAACTAGCGTGGAATAACAGCCACATGCTGCTTACACTTGGTGTAAGCAACGAGTTTCATTCTGGGAGCAGGGGATCTTGTAAAGTGAGACATGAGTGCCTTCTCCTCACTCTTTCTTCTCTGCATTTACTTTGTTTTCCTGCCAGCTATATCTGCTCTTCTCACGTGCCAGCTCTCCTGGCAAGTCTGAAATATGGGAGTTATAGACCCACATTTCAATGCCTGCCCAGCAGACATCATGGAAGACATGTGCACTTTCAGGATGGAGATCTCCTTGCTGGTGTCTCTGAAGGCAGATCTGTGGAAGCAACTTCCAAGTACAATGAAAGACTGTAGAAGACCAACACTGGAAGCTTGTTTGTTTTATCCCATGTATCTGTTTTCTTCATGACACTTCTCTGTGTCAAGGCTATAAAATAAGATACCTCTTTTCCAGAAATGAATAAATCAGATGATATTGCCATATATGCTGAATGGAGAACAAAATGGCAAGAGCAGCTTGTAATAAAATTCCTTTTATTGAAGCAGTAAGGGCCCCCAGGGGCCCCTGGTGGCCTAGTGGTTAAGATGCAGCACTCTCACCGCTGCAACCCAGGTTCGATTCCCGGTCCCCCGGGCAGATGGAGCTCGTTAGCCCTGTGAGGCCATCCGTCTATGAGAAGGTCACTCTAAACAAACCTACGTCCTGAGGACCTCACTGCCATTGTCCAAGCTTGCTTGGCCCCGGCAGATGAACCTTAGGATTAAAGGGTGGGCTCAGTTCAGCGCATGCTGTGTCTCACCTAAAAAATCCATTGTGCAGGCTTGAAAGGCAAAAGACCTTTCCCAAAATCTTCGTTCGTGAAGACTGGCCATTAATTAAGGGCCCCCATGACCTTCCACCT